TGTTAAACTGGGTTTCTGCAATTTCTAGCGCTCTCTCGATCACATACTCGTTCTGCAGCGGGGAGAGAGAGCATGTAGAATACACCACCTCTCCTCCTGGCTTGGTAGCGAGGATCCCAGCCCTGCAAGCCAGCAACACACACACTGTCACGGGAAGAGGAGGGCTATGTGGAACACCAGCATACCCACCCACCGAAATTTGGAAGCCAGCATGTAACTTATAGGAGGTGAGAGACAAATCTCCACTCCACAGGCTCAGTGGTCTGTGTCACTACAACCTGAGTACTGGTTTAGACCAGGGCAATATGGGCCAGATAGATGCTTGGATTGACAAAGTACTTAACATGGGAGAGACGCTACTGGAGAGCAGCTGAAGGAGTAATCCTGCACTCACCTCCAAGGGAATGGGATAAGAGTACGTACAGGGGAAGAGGCTCTTGCAGTTCAAGCATTGCAATGGGACACTAATCTGTTCTTATTGCCCCAGCTTGCAGTCAGCCCACCCAGCCTTCCCACTCTAATGGGGTGATGAAGCGTCCCCATGTTCTCCCATGTGCTGGGACATATGGACATTCGGGAATCCTCCAAGGCTGACTGCTAGGACCCAGAGGATCATCAGACAAAAGGACGCACCGCTGTACCCATCCTGTTCCTTAGACTCTCCTCCCTACTTCCTATGGCTACCGCTGGGGACAAGAAGGGCTTTTTATCTGATCTAGAACATTCGCACTTTCTTACACATATTATGATTTGATGTGTTCAACTATTGACATTCCAGAAAACTACGCATGGTTTCCACATTTCCCAGTCGAGGACACAAAAAGTAAGAAGAGGTTTCAGTCCTGGCCATGGAGAGCTGCTACCATAACACAAAGAGCACCAAAACACAGCATCAAGCTCACTCACATCAGCAGCTGCAGCTGCAGCATGGGCAACATCTGACGCTCCTTGGTTCGTCTCCTGTGGAAGATGTTGTTGTCCTCCTCCATAACAGAGTGCCTGTCCGTCGTGCAGGGCACATCCACCAGGACCTGCAGCAGCAGAGGTCCTGCATCAGTCCTGGACCCAGGTCAAGCTCAGCAGGTCTCCTAGTGCAACCTGCCCCTTGCCCAACTTTTCCACCCTCGCCACGCACTAAGCAGCTCTCAGTACCTTGCCTAGCTGATGCTGCCCAAGTGCAGGTGGGCACCCACACTGAACTGTAACTCCTCTGGCTGCTTTTGTGTTTCAGGAACGTGTAAACAGACACAGAAATGGTGGATAACATGACACTCTCATACGTGTCCTCGTTTAACTTCTCTACTCTGTGTGTCTTCCTGGTAGGCATTACTGCAGTACCTACAACCGCAACCACACACGGCCAGAGCACCTGCAGTGATGCCTCCCGCAATAACAAACCCAGCTCCTGCAGCTGGACATGACTGAGAAACAAGAATTATCTAATCTTTACATTTAACCCTTTCCAAGTGATGGATTAGAACAGGATTTTAAAGGGATATTACACAGCCAAATAAAGGTACAACACCAGGTGCCCAGATGCAACAGATCCAGTAAGGGTATAGCAGGAGGAAATATTACACTGTATGTGGCTTAGTCTTCTCTCTTTGCATTTAAGATTATGGAAAACTATACAATTATACCATAGGGTAAGCTGCTGTCTTCCTCTGAAACAGGAGGAACGTGAACTAGATGGGTTTATCTTCACCAGTTCCCAATCATCTACCTTATGGAAAGTGCCACCATCCAGCTGCGCCCAGTCCCTTCCGTCATGGGATGTGACGCTCACAGTTTCCCTGATTTCTTTGGGAATGTAGCTATGGAGAATCTGGCACAGCCTCTTTGTCCGGGAAATGGAGACGTCGTTGGCCGCCAGATGCCCTGTGAGGACAAAACAGGCACTCTGGGAACGTCACTCCTGCAAAACCACACCTGATTCCCAACTCTTATAACCAGAAATGATTAACAGTCAGACATTAATGGACACAGCACACTCTTCCAGCCCTGTTTTACACACGGGGACAAGAACACCCACCTCCACTTACCGCAAACCCCAGTCTGCAGCAGAGCCAGAGTTTTGCCACCTGGAGCCGCACAGAGGTCGAGGACAAAGTCACGCGGCTGCACGTTGAGTGCCAGGACAGGCAGGAGAGATGCTGCATCCATGAGATAATAGTCAAGGAGCCCCAGAGTGTCGGGCCTGGAAATTAGCAGTTTGCATAACAAAAGCAAATGTACTAGGGGAAAAGAAAACAGCAGTGGGAAGCAAGGATGGGGACAAGGATGGGGACGTAAAGAAGCAGCGGGTGCTCACACCCATGCAGCCCCAAGGCTGGGACAGGGGTTGTCTGTCCCAGGGATGTCTCACCGTGCAGGGCGAAAGCGCGTGATGTCACCCCTGGGGAAGGTGTAACACTTGATGTTGGAGCTGATGGAGGCACGAAGCGGCAGTGATATCTCTGCCTGCATCACTGTCCTGCACTTGCCAGACCCCTCCTGGGACCTGCTTTCCCCTCTCTCCACTTCTCCTGCAGCTGCACCCTGCTGCAATCGCTGTGCCTCTTTGGGAGCTTCAGAAACAAAATCGGTGGCATTCAGCAGCTCCAGCTCTTGGGCGACGTGGTCGACAGGAGAGAAGTTGTTGAGGAGGGCGCCGTACTTCTGCTCGCAGAGCAGGCCGGCGCGGACCGAGGGCCACAGGTCCTTCAGCTGCAGGCTGTAGTTCACGTCAAAGTGGTGCAGGGCCAGGCGCGTGGATGGGATGCGGGGGGCTGTGGCAGCCTTGGAGGTGGGGGAGGAAATATCAGGTATGTTAAAAGACAAAATACCTCGACAGTCCAGCACAGCTCCAAAAAAGCCCAGCCTCAAGCGTTTTTCTGGGAGAATCCAGCACCGGGTTCTGTGCTGCCAAAAGTCCCTCGGGCCTTTCTGCAGGCCCCAGAAAGTGACTGTGCCCCCTACGCCCATGGGCTGATGGTCTCCTGGGGAGAATTCAGGACCGGGAACGGCTGAACAGGGCTGGGGGCACGGGGCGGGCATGAAGCGGGGGAACGGCTGCGTATTGAGTGGTGTAACGTGAGTGTAAGGGGCGAAGGGGTGCTACAGGGTGCAGTGACAGGTGCAAGGGGG